TAATAAGTAATTTGTGGAGAGATTCTTTTAACTTATATAAACTTCCTACTTCCCTTCCCATAAAACTTTCACTCACTAGTTTTAGCATCTACTGATGATTCTTGTCTGCATCACTTATTACCATGATGGTGGCAAAATGATTTTTCAAACTCATTCTTATAAATTTATTAATTGACATTCTACAGTCAGCAGATGTTTTTCCTTACACTCATGTATTTACTTATTTATTAGAAGTAAAAACTCTCCTCCAATTCAATAGATGTACAGGCCATTATATTTTGATATCAAAGAGCCCCAGACACAGTAAGGTGGAAGGCCTGCAAGTGGATTTCTATGTCCTTTTGATGTGTCCTTACCATATAAGCACTTCTTGCTTTCTGGCACAAGATGTTCCATTTTGTACTTTCCCTGTACCAGGCCTGGAATCAGCCACTTTTCCACATGCCAAGTTCTCCCAGTAGAAGACGGTTTTTTATTTTTTACTTAAGGATTATTTTAGGCTAGCTTTTTTTTTTTTTTTAAGTTTATTAATTTATTTAGAAGAGAGAGACCACACGCAAGCAGGGAAGGGGCAGAGAGAGAGAGAGGGAAGGAGAGAATCCCAAACGGGCTCTGAGCTGATAACTGATTACTGATAGCTGACATCATGGAGCCTGACACAGGGCTCAAACTCATGAACCATGAGATGGTGACATGAACCAAAATCAAGAGATGCTTAACTGACTGAGCCACCCAAGTGCCCCATTAAGTTTTTATTTTGAGAGAGAGAGAGAGAGAAAGCAAGCACGGGTTGGGAAGAGGGGGAGAGAGAGGGAGAGAGAGAATTCCAAGCAGGCTCTGTGCTGTCAGTGTGGAGCTAGACATGGAGCTCGTTCTCATGAACCATGAGGTCACGATCTGAGCCAAAATCAAGAGTTGGACACTTAACCCACGGAGCCCACCCAGGTGCCCTGAAGATGGTTCTTTAGAAACAAGATCTGGTCTCAAGGTATGCTCACTGCTGATAACATATCACTGCTTTTAGGCCCGTTCAGCAAAAAGAGCTGGCAGATATTTTTATAAGCTGTATTTTTAAAAATTATACCCAATTTAAGGAAAAAATATACTTTCGGCAAAAAATATACTACAGCATTTGGCCAACCCGTATTTAACAAATATCCAGCCAAAAAAAACCCAACTGTTATGCTATTACTGGGTTAATTTTCCTTTCATACTTTGCATAAATTCTTCTACTACACAGTAAGCTAGTCATATAAATCTTCCGATTTTATGAAAACAAAGCACACATAAAACTAACTTCATCACTTAAAGTTTGAAAGTCAAAGTTAGGAGAACCTCTTTTCCAACGGCAAGAGTAAAGAGGATTTAACAAAGCTCAAGAGGGGCGCCTGGGTGGCGCAGTCGGTTAAGCGTCCGACTTCAGCCAGGTCACGATCTCGCGGTCCGTGAGTTTGAGCCCCGCGTCAGGCTCTGGGCTGATGGCTCGGAGCCTGGAGCCTGTTTCCGATTCTGTGTCTCCCTCTCTCTCTGCCCCTCCCCCGTTCATGCTGTCTCTCTCTGTCCCAAAAATAAATAAAAA